TCCTCCTCCCACATGTTTCTTCCTGTCGGGTCCCCTGCCGCTGACTTAAGGGAACGAGCTTTTCAAATGGGAAAGTGAGGGATATTTCATTTTATAGAATCAGTCGTCCCCATGTGGGATGCAATTTTTCGTTGTTTCGAAGCTCCTCCCTGTCTTTTGTCGGGGGGCCCTAAATAAAGCCAGGTCCTAAATATGGCTTAACGTTTGAACGGGGTTTCCAGGACATCTCAATGGGTGATCCTCATCCGCATGGCGGCACTTTGTGTCACGGGGTGTTTGTCGCTTGTGTGATTTCCTGGTGGTGTAGAACTTATCCACCTACACTTCATTTGATTTTCATTGGCACGGGAACGGAGCAAGTACGATGAAACCCGACTGCAGTGAGGTTGAAACCTCGGCTAAGACTACAACTAAGTAATTACATAGTTTTCATTTGTCCCCCCCCCCCCCCCCCCCCCCACCTCCCCCCCCCCCCCCCCCCCCCCCCCCCCCAAATCTTACACCGCCATAAAAAGTGGTCAATACAGACAACAGAGACATGTGAAGACAGTCAAAGACAGACTGTATAACAGACCGTCGCCGAGCTTTCACAATCACGTAATTATATTGTTCACATTTGTTTACTGTCTGCTCAATCAACATCTTGTTAGTGTTATTAGAAATCTTTAAGCTCATAATCGATGTTTATTTTTCCTTGATTTCTCTTTTATCTGTTTGAGTGTACAGAACCCAATCAACCACATACAAATTAACCTAATCGAGGCTCATCAACATTAACTTGATGCTCTTTTGGTTATTTCGTTTGTTGGCGTTAGTTTGTTGTATGTTTTCTGTTTGCAACTGCACGAAACTTAAAAAGCAGAATATTTATACTTTCTTTTTCTGGTTAACTGAAGTAGCAAAAATGTTAATACTTTTTTTTTCAACTGCATGCAGCAACGCAAGTTATCTTAGGGCAGTTTTATCCTACTGCACACGTTTCAACAGCAGACATCTTTGTGGTAAACTGGAATATGATATAAAGAAAGAAACGTTCGGGGATAAATAAAAAAATCATCATCATTATCAGGTGCCTTGCAGACTGGCGTGAGCGATCATGACTCTCCATAATTGAAAAACTACTGAATGTAAAATCACCAATTGAAACTATAGTCTACATACTTTGGGATCTGTTTAAATCGGCATGTAAAGGGGATGCAGGTGTTCTTGTATCTTGCAGCTGTTGTAATAGTGTCATTGGGTCATTGTCTAATTCAAGCTGAAAAACACTGATATATTATTATTTCCATGCTTTCAGTTATACGATCAGCAATCTATCATTGATTTCCCATCTTCTTCTTCTCTCCCTCATCAAACCGGAGTGTGTGTGTGTGCGTGTATGTAAAAAGTGGGGGGAGAGGTAGGGTGGTGTCTACTGAGGGCTCTTTCTAACGCAGTGTAGAAGTTGATCTCCATTTGATCTTTATTTCTCTACGACTATTCTTGATGCCGTCGTTCAGTCTTCGAGGTCCCGCCCCCCCCCCCTCATCCTTCCTCCACAACTCCACCCCTCTACTCGGCGTTTTTCCCCGCTCTGTGTTCATTATATTTCTTCAGCGATTCTCTTTGTGACAGCTGGTATCAGGATATTTTCGTCAGATGGCTAAACCATCTCATCCGTTTCATTAGACAATCATTTAGCCCGTCCTTGGCTGAACGTCGCTCTTATCTCAGTTGGCCTGGCAAAAAATCGGTCTCTCACCTGCTCTTCTGCTATGAGGATTGTCCTACCAGGTGTGCCAGGCATATCCTATGCCTATCTTTGCACTGGTCAAGCCTCCCCCTTTTTCTTGGTACCGTGCCTACTGCTATTTTGTTTTTCTTCTCCGAACTTTTACCCCCGCATTATGGCGGCAACAAAAATCCGTACGGGGCTCAGTTCTATTAAAAATATGCCGGCTCCGTATAACGAAACAAATGCTCTAACAGAGTCTCAGCGATATGTTACTTGCGGACTTGTTTCTGTGACTCTGCCTCACCGCCGACGGTATAAACTAGATGGCTGGGACTCCCGAGCAGCAGCAACCGCAATCCCTGCAACTTCCTCCAATTAATTTGCTCGTGAGTCCCAGGCACCTAGTTTAGCACCCCCCCCCCCCCCCTTCCGGGCCGCTGGCGCGGTGGATATTGTCAGCGGTGAGTGTAACCGCCTTCTGCGCATACCAACAAGTCTGAGGAGAGCAACGACGCTAATCTGTGTCGGCGCACGTGGACTCCTCGCCATTGGCTTTTATCGTCAGTAATGTTGCGTGTCTCGAAATTGTCCATGGTCGCTAGTATCGTCTGCAGAAACGCTCGAAAGTGTCAACGGTCGCTATTATCGTCAGCTACTGTCGTGTACAGTGTTGCTTCTCTTGAAATTGTCAGGTAATCCTGGTTTTGTCGCGATTCGTTCGTCGCCAGAAGTTTGCATATTTTTAATAGAACTGAGCCCCGTACGGATATTTGTTGCCGCCATAATGCGGGTGTAGAAGTTCGGAGGAGAGCTTTTTTTTTTTTTTTTTGGTTTTAGTTCAACATGGTGCTTGATGTGGCCAAAATATTTAAGCTTCCGGGACAAGATGCTGCGTATTAGCAAGTCTTCCTTGATATTCAGGTCACTTATGATGTCAGTATTTTTTCTTCTTCTTTGTCTATCGCTTTATGAGAATCTGTCGATAACATTTCAGTTCAAAAGCCCCTATTTCCTTCTTAAGGACCCCTTGCTTTATAATAAATAGTTAAATAATACGTTTATTTCGCGGCGCGAAACCTCTTGTTTTTTAGACTGAACCCGGATTACTAACTGGACAGGTGCGCTCACTAACCACTATACACCAACGACATATGATAATTATATAATAATAATGACTATATTTTAAAAATGAAATAATTGTGTAATAAATTTTATTTGTATTTCCCAGGTTGTCAATAACATGAAGTCAGATGAGGATAAAAATGCCACTAAACCCTCAAGTATTCAACAGATCACATCCCCAGCTCTGCTTACTGGTGTCAAGCAAACAGCAATGGGTGTCATGGCTTTGCTTAAGAACGACAAGAAGAAAGCTTTACACCAGGTATTTTAGTGAAACTAATATTCTTCCGTCCTGGTTAGATATGACTTTGTGCCACCACGTAGCAGTAGTCAGTGCTAAAAGTAGCGTTAGATTTCCTTTGGGGTAAATAAGGCAGTCTGGGCGAGGGATCATGCTACATGAGTAACTGTTGTCCTCTGCAACACTCTCCAGGCGTTCTGTTATGGATTAGGGTGCCTATAGCACAACATAACATTATTGATAGAAAGACGGAAAGGAGAAAACAGACAATTGCGTATCCTCTGCTAACACCGAATGTGAGGTCGCATTTACTAAATCTAACAACCCACGTTGTGCTACTTTGAAAGTGGGTGGGGCGCTGGGTGAATACAAACCTGATCCTAGGACGAAGAAATGCAAGCTGCCAACACAAACGTTAAAGCTGGCTAGAAAATGTTCACAGTTTCTGTTGTCAGATGGTCCAGCGGAAAAGCTTCAACCGGCGGACAGAGACTGACTGCTCTCTTGATCCACAGCTTCTGGAACATGCTTCATTCCTACTAGTCTTCCTTTAGCGTGAGCAATCATGTTGCATGTGCAAAACATGGTCACAACAATACAGCCCATGATTTGTTACAATGGAGAAGAGTAACGACATCTCTGTTGGGTTATTAGTTCAATTGCCATTGCCATTGTACAAAGAAAAGAAAAAGAATTAAAATCTCTACCACATCCAACCTGCTGTTGGCAGCTCCCTCGCTGCCAAGAGTCTCCGGTTATATTTGTGATCTGGTTTATTAGTCCAATATTTTCCTATGGCACAATGTGATACTGGTGTATTTAAAGATGGAAGGGGTGTCCAGATATTCATCTATTGGGGGAGGGGGAGTATATATTTCTGTTACCATCTTTTTTGGGAGAGTCGTTACTTGACTTTCTAAAGAAGAACCCCTATCACCTCATTGACGCATCGAGCACATGATGCTGGACACACAGTTGTTTAAACATTCGCTCGGTGATGTGATCCAAATCACACCCGCCGCCATTTCTTCCCAGAAAGCTTTCAAAAATCACACTTAATTTCTTTCACTGGATCTAGACACCTGGTCATGCTGGCATAACGGGTAATGAGCGAGCGGACCAGCTGGCAAGTAATGTACTAACGCATGTGGAAGGAAGCATGGACATAGCAGATATGATCGACGATGTATTAACTGGGATAGTGGATAAGGAAGAATCTCTGACACTAACACAACTGTGTGAAATGGGAATAAAGCACGTCTATGCTGCCTTTGAAACCGATATAGAAAAAATTGCAACCAACCTCTCATAGGAACAATTAGTAGAGTGGCTGCTGCATCGGAGGACTGATCACGCCTGGGAATGCCCGGTGAGTAGTGACATCGATTTTGATAACATTTAATAAGATAACTAACATAACTTTCCATGGTATTACCCGTTACCTCACCTGGCTGGGTCGTCTGCGAGCCAAAGTCACATTCATAAAGAGGGGGTGGGAGGGGGTCCACTTGGAAAGGTGACCTTGGAATCAACAGACGAATGTCTAGTCCAGCGGTTCTCAACATGTAGGTTGCCACCCTTTTTTTCGAAGCCGTTCTCAGGGATGCCAAAAACCAATGCAAAACACATATTCATCGAATTTTGAAGTAGCAACGAAAATAACTGTATGGTATTGGGGGGGGGGGGGGTCGCCACAAAATGAGGAACTGTATTATTGGGTCGCGGCATTAGGAACTATATTAATGGGTCGCGGCATTAGGAACTATATTAATGGGTCGCGGCATTAGGAACTATATTAATGGGTCGCGGCATTAGGAACTATATTAATGGGTCGCGGCATTAGAAAGGTTAGGAGCCACTGGTCTAGTCAATACTCTACCAGGACTGCTACTGTACATTTCAATGGTCTGACCTGTTTTACAGGTCAAGCAACTGACCAAGCTGAACAAAGAGCTCGCTTATGCAGTTCTTGTAGCAGATGTTGATGGCTGGACGCCAGTTCACGCGTGCGTTATGAGAGGCTCCAAAAAGTTGCTGAAAGCCATGCTTCAAGTGGGGATTCCAATCAATTGTGCCATGGGACAACCTGAGGGTCTCCCGGGCAGATGTACCTTATTACATGTGGCGGCCAATAGACCAGATAAAAAGGTAATTTTTTTTTAATTATTATTAACATTTGTATCATCCCTTATCAGGAGGTCTGCGTGGTTTCGAGGCATGGTGTCCGGTGTAAGAGCTGGGATGTTTTACACATGGACTTGGACTTTTAGTAATTCCCCCTGGTCTCTAGATAGTGAGATCGGACGCCCGTGTGCATTGTTGCGCACGTAAAAAATCCTTTGGCAGTTGGAAATAGAAAAGACTAGCCTAACGGCGCTGCTCGGGCAAAATTTGGAGTTAAAAATCTACCCAAAGTATTTCAGGATAGTTGCCAGTGTTACAGAGCTCGTGCACTGTGCTGAGCTTCTTTGGTCGCAGACTTGGGTTAGAAGAAGAACGGAGTACTTTTGGGTTACTACCCGTGTGTCATGATCTTAATCTGTTGTTGAAAACGTTAAATCTCATCCTTAATTTTTATTTATTGTGATTGCTCAATTAAATCTGGTCTGCAATGCCTATGCTGCAGCAGCAGGAGTAGGAGAAGGAGGGAAAAAGAGAAGAAACATTTTGCATACCTTTGCGGTATGTGAACCCATTTCATCTTTAATGTGGGACGGGTGAAGGCTAAAATATACAACTTCTATAGCCAGTTGTAGAACTCTATAAACTGTTTACGACAAAAGATGAATACACTCGCACTGCACTTACAGACACTTGCCGTTAGAGTTTACGTCGCCGTTGCCGTCTCTTCAAAACCTGTTTTCGATATTCTTGTTTCCATGGCACATAGTTCTGTGTATACACATGTCTTCAATTACTCTTTTTACGTTTTTACTGATCGACCAAATTACTGCCATTTGTAGTGTTTAGATAATATTGCGTTCGTAAGTACGGGCATTAAAATTTGTATCTTTCTAAATAAGTATATTTTTATTATCATGATGATTAAAATATTTTTTTCCCTTAAAGGTTCAAGTTACCATTTTATTTTTTAAATTTTTTTAAGCTGCTATTAACATCTGTAAAAAAAAAATTCAGAAAAATTCAGAGTAAAATAATTCACCTTGATTATTTCAGGAGCCTCGCCGGTGTTACGGAGTTCGTTAACTGCGCCGAGTTAGAAGTATAACGGAGCTTTTTCTTCTTCACTTCCTCTTTTACCGCTGTGGGTGTCGAGGGAGATATAAGGTTCTGTTTCTAGCTCTTCTGGTCGCCTCGACCATAGGCACATCGTGCTGTTGTAGAGTTTCTCTGATGTTATCCTTCCATATTGTTCTTGGTCTACCTCGTGCTCTACGTCCTTTTTCTCTTTCCATGTATGCTTTGTTGGTAAGGTGTCACAAGGCATTCTCTCTAAGTGGGCAAACCATTTCACTTGCTGTCTTCGTATGTAATCCAGAATTGGTTCTGTGCCGACTAGTTCTCTTATATCTCATTCCTGATCTTATCTCTTATGGTCACTCCTACAGCCCTTTTCAGACATCTCATTTCCGTGGTTACTAATTTTCTTGTATGGTTTGTTGTGAGTGACCATGTCTGGCACTGGTAGCACAGAGTTGGAATAAATATGCTTTGAATAAGATGTCTCTTTGTGCTGATTGGGATTGTCTTATGCTGGTAGATACTTGGTACTAGCTGTCCCAATACTTGGTTTGCTTTACTGCATATAATGTTAATTTCTTTATCAAATTTTCCATCTTCGGTAAATGTAATCAAAGTAATAATTCCATCTGAGTGATAATGTATGTCTAATATGTAGTTAGATATGTCCGGATGCACCAGGAAACCCACTCCATTCTTCGATGTTTCTCCTCCTGCATATGTTAGTAAGTAGCCTCTGTGTATTTTCTTGTTACTATTTAATTTGCGTCTTATGTCAGCTAGCCCCATTAACTTGATTTTCCTTTTTTCCATCATTTCAATAATCTATATTGTTTTATTTCCTAGGCCAGCGGTGTTAAGTGTTGCAATAATGTATTTCGCTTTTCTGTCTCGTAGTCCCTTAACATTGCCATGGTCAGATACCGTTTGATCAGTCCGTTTATATCTTATTGTGTTTTCTGTAGTGATAATAAATCTATTGCCGACTTGCTAGACCTGTCGCAACTTCACCAGAGCCCCGTTGGTCAGGACGTTTCGGAGTGACCCAGGATTTGCCTTCATGGCTACCGTAGCGGTCCCCTGGCACGAGGCCACACCATACTTCGCCCACACCTAGCAATCCCCTACTTTGTCCTATTACCACCTCTCACGACGAGGACGTGGGGTTTGCCTTTGAGATGCATATAATATAAAGACTTTTATATAACGGAGCACTTGTGAAAAGTGGCTCTTGTGCCATGACGTTGATCTATTGTTCAAACCATTTAAGATAGGAGAAACTCCTTAGTTGCACATCTGTCCGGAAAACGCAAGAGTTGTACTTTGTGTATAAGCTACATGTATCCTAATGTTAACTTATTAGTAAGTTGACCGACAGGTCATGTATGTGTCTTGTTGAACTGGAATCCAGGACTGGGCTCTAAGATTTAGAGGGATGTCAAACCTTCTGGTCCATGTATAAAAATCCGTCAGTCAGGCGCTTCCTGCTTGTTCGAATATCTCCAGCGGTTTCTATTCTATTTCCACACATCATAGTTTTCGTTCTATGAATAAAATATTTCATCTACATTCTTTGCTAGACTCGTTAATTTGTTGCCAGGTATGCCATTTGATTGGGTCTTAAGCAGCTTGAGTCCCCCACCAAGACAAATTGAATGCGCTCCAAGGTGTCCCACAAACCGTGTTCCGAAGTTCTAATTATAAATATTTGTGTACACATATATGCGAGGGAAAGTCAATAAGTTAGTCACAAATTTTAGTAGGGTGGCAGGAATATGTTGTTTGTGGTTTCTAAACGCGTCCTTGGGTAACAGCAACATCAAACTTCAAGTCTCTGTTTGTTATGTGGCAGGTGTTACTGGTAAATCTAAAAACATGCACCATTCAGAACAGCTTAACCCAGAAAATGTGTGTTTTTTTTTTAAGGGGGGGGGGGGGGGGGGGGTAAACAGACCCCCACCGCCATGAACAGAAGTTCTCTATTTAAGTTTTGTTTGTTTGATTATATATGTCATTCTATTTTTAATGTACTTTTATAACTATTTAGCATTTAGCACATAATTATTATTGCGCCTTTGAACTAGATTTGAGTGCACCACCAGCCGATCCCAACCTCTTCTAGAATTTAAAAAAGCAACATCATCCCTTTTCCCCCAAGCCCAACCAAAGTTTTGCTTGTGTAGGTCCCCTACACAAAAAGGCATTTCAGATGGAGTAATCAATAAAGGCAAAAGCTGGTCGGTTCTTAATGAATTTATTGACTTTGCAATATTGAGACCTGTAATATCCGCATTTAGATCAATCAATAAATCAATCAATTAGTCAGCTTTCAAGAAATAATGGTTAACTAAAATAGATCTCCTACACTCCTTTCGTCGGCTCTGTGGCTAAGTCGATGCCAATGCTGCGTAATGACGGGATGCCAGGTTCGATCACAGCTGCGGGCCATGCGCCTTGTGTTGGTTTCGACAGTGTTATCAAGAAAGCCGACCGTCCAGGAAGCAATGGCAAACTACTGGACATAAAATTGCCTAGAAGAACCACACAACATCCAGAGCTGTTAGGGTTGGTTCTGCAACGTCATATAAAGGATACGCAACTAACCAAAAACACTCCTTTCTTTTTCGAGCCCAATGTGCAAACGCTCTCAGACTTGTCCAAGTCCCCCTATTGATGTTATCCTCATTTTTATAAAGCTTCATGCATTGTTACGCAAATATTTTAAAGCTGTGATCTCACGGTTGCGCCCCCCTCCCCGCCCTCCCCCTCGAGAATATGGCAAGACCTCCCCCATTACCTCCTTAAGTATAAGGCAAAACCTTCACACTCCCTTTGAGTATTTTGAAAGACCTCCACGCTCCCCCCCCCCCCCTCCCCACATTTGAGTATATGACAAGACCTTCACGCCCTCCTTAAGTATATGACAAGTCCCCAACCTCCTCTCCTCCCCCCGCCCCCTTTTCCTCTTTGTGAGTATACAAGACTCCCACGCCCTGCCCCCTTGAGTATACGACAAGCCCTCCACGTCCCCCTTAGTATATACTCTGGAAATCTTCTTACGTTCCCCTCTTCGAAGGAAGATCTGATTTTAGCAAACTGATATTTAGTAGCCTGTTACGACTTGTTTGTCTCTTGTCGCTTGTCTCGGCACTATATTTCTTTGTTATCTTCAAAACTGATATCCCGGAACCAGGAGAAATGTTCTCTTATTGTAAATAAGTAACTGACACAGAGTTAGAACTATCCAATGAAAAAATAATGGTCACAACCATAAGTCATCTCCTTGTGAGATGCCAATTTTTCGTTAATTTGATTAAATAGATAGGGCCTAATGGCTGAACGCGGTTTCTAGGACCTCTCCACGGCGATCCTCATCCACATGGTGGAACTTTGTGTCATCGGGTGTTTATCGCTTGTGTGATGTCCTGCTAGGGTAGAAAGTCAGTCAGTCAGTCCCAGAGTTTGAATAATTATATAGTAGGCTCAAGTTTTTTTTTCGTTTTTTGAAGCCCCACCTAGGCTTTTATCGTGGGTCCTGAACATAGCCAGGGCCATTAATATGACCTAACGACTTAAGGGGTTTCCAGAACTTCGCCAAGTGCCGCATAGGGGCACCTATGGTCACCGGGTGTTTATCGTTTGTGTGATGTCCTGGTGGGGTACAACAAGAGAGACAGAGTTAGAACAAAACTCTTGGGGGCGCAATTTTTCGTTATTTTAAGGCCCGATCCCGGCTGTAGTCGGGGGTCCTAATATAACCTAACGGTTAAACGGGGTTTCTGTGACTTGTGCCCGGGTGATGCTCATCCGAATGGTAGCACGTTGTGTCACCGAGTGTAGGTCGCTAGTTGTACGGCCCTATTGGGATTAAACGACACACATAATCGACATCCCCACAAAACCAAAAATAGACTCAGGTCAAACTTACAAAAGTTAGCTGCGTATCCTTTACAGCACGTTGCAGAACCAGCCCCAGCAATTTTTGGCTGTTGTTGTTTTTCTAGGCAAATTTACGTCCATTAGTTCGCCATTGCTCTCTGGACGGTCGGCTTCTCGATACCAACGCAGGGTGCAGGGCCCGCAGCTGGGATCGAACCCGGCATCCCAGCATTACGAAGCGTGTTCGTAACGCCTCAGCTACAGACTCCGAGCACTTACAAGCATGTCGTAAAAGACGACTTACCAGTATTCTCCTTAAAATTCGAAGTGCAACCTCCTGAAAGGTGGGGAACCAACAGTCTGTTTATAAATAAGCAAGATCTTTAAAAACAGATGTCCTCGAAAATCTGAAGTTCTGAAACAGGACCAAAGTCCAGAAATACACGAACAACCAGAACTTTCCGCAAGAGTGTACATCCGTTGAACGCAAATATGAAATCGGAAGAACTATTAGAACAGCGCCTATAATTAAATTCACTGTAAAATAAAGACTGAAAAGATACTGTCATTTGATGAGAATTAATCCAATAACGCCAGAAACAAGAGCGCGCAGCGTGATAATAGAAACGTCAAGATGTAGAGCACGGCCAAGAAGAATATGGATTGAAGGGACAATGATATAGAGAGACCCCACACCATCACAGCATACCGTGCAACCGAGCGTGTCGCAGCTCGGAAACCGCTCATCTGTTAACCTGTGACATCAAGCCCCAAACAGCAGAAGATGGACACAAGAAAGAAAGAAAGAAAATGTTTCCGCGACCAAGTTGTAAAGCCGCTATCTCATATTCTTTTGAGAATAGGTTCTATTTGTCGCATTCCTTCGAGTGCAGCTGTTTGCAGATCCCTCAGTGAAACATTACTTTTGCTAGAGAGCTCACATATTGTTATAACGGGCACTCTTCCGAATACCGGTCCCAAATTTTTTACTGTTCAAAACATCTCTTTTAGAGCCTCAAGGGGTTATAAAGAGGTTATAAAAAATATGGAATAGGAACAACTAAAATATAGAAGCGGAATACGTACCAATAATGATTTAGGCTATCATCATCAGTTTCCACTATCATCAGTTTCCACTTCTGCCGTCATTGTTCAATGGATAGCAATGTTTACAGCTAAGCGCTGTGGGGTGAATAGTTTTCGATCCATTGTAGCGCCGTGGATCAGTTTTCACTTCTGTAGTTAAGCGCCGTCAAATAATAATTGAGGCCATCATTATCAGTTTCCACTTCTGTGCAATGTTTACAGTTAAGCGGCGTGGGGAGAAATAGTTTTCGATCCATTGAAGCGCCGTGGGGAGGGATAATTTTCGATCTATTGAAGCGCTGTGTCCATGGGTAGCAATGTTTAGATCATCATCATCAGTTTTTACTTCTGCCGTTAAGCGCAAGTGCACAAATTCGTAAGGAGGCGATAGGCAATTATAAACGCAAGTGCACAAATTCTCAAAGAGACTGTGACGAGGTGCATTTGGTGAGTCCAGAATTCCTTCTAACTGCAAAGAAAGTACACAAACCCAACTGAAACCTCTACAAAGTGAAACACAATGAGGTAACTGAACAGCTAACCCAGGCGATCTTCCTAGCAGCGATCAAAGTGTCTGAAGAACCAATAGTTTATCTCAGTGGAATTTAACGTTAGCTCAACAGCTGGACCAGGGAACGCATCTACGTTTGAAGAATTATGCAATCTTCCAGTCGGACGGACATAAGACCATCTGAACCTGCGGACAGGCAGGTGGCTAATTACCACGGATTAGAGTTGAGACGTAGCGGACATTCTCAGACCAGCCGACAACTTTGAAGTGCAGGGTTCAAACAGGATAGCGAGTCCAGTTGTCTAAGCAGGCGAATTTCGCACATAAATGTGATACACTTAACCTACCTAGTGATGTTATAATTACAGCATACTCGTAATCACAAGGGTGGAACTTGGATCTTGATCTTGAGAATGTGAACAAAAATGTCAAAGTGCGGCGACGCTTAACCGGCTCCTATCTTGGTTTTCTGGTCGGCCGGGTTTCTTTGTGGTATATTCTTGATACTTCTGTGTGATGTGTTGCCACATCTGAGTTTCAGTTTTTGTTGCTGTTTTCCTTGTATGGAACTTGGACAACAGGGTAGAACATTTACGGATGTCTCTGACCTGATTGACATAAGGACAGGAATAGTGAAATGTTTTAGAGGGCGCAGCTAAAAGACTCCTAAGTCTAGAGACAGAACGGGCAAATGACAGTTTGCAATGGTAAGGCAGCGAGCACATTCTATTATACTTTCATACTGTGCTAAAAGAGAAAATCTAACCATATTTCGAAAATAAAAATTTAAGAAATGACAATATTTGAACTGCTGCATGTAAACAGTAAAAAAGTAGGTGCAAACATTAGTGAACCAATAAATAAGTAACCTGCAGTCTTCATCTTTCATCATCTTACCAAAAGTATATCTCGATCTCTAAACGCCTTTTCCCTTCTCCTGCGGATACTCACCTCAATATATTTCACGAGTCATTATTAGGCTGTATCTGTTTAACCAGGGACTATTACAACCAACCAATAATAGACTTCCGTAACAATAATAACCACGTAATGATGCCCTTCCAACTACCGACAAGCCACACACACGTGACTCTTTTTGTGGGATCCAATGCCACATGTTTGACGGGAAAAAAGGAATTGATCCACTGCCACCTAAAAAGCATGTTGTAAAAGGTAACATTCCAACCGACATTTCGAGGGCTAACGAAAAGAAAGAAGATTACCTGCCCGTGACATGACCATTGAGCATCTCGCCGCCGCTATCGCAACCTAGCTGTTAACGAAAAGACCGAGCGAAAGGCGCAGATATCGCAGCCTAGCTGTAAACCACAACACAACGTGCAAACCACCCTTGTAAAAGCAACAACAACAAAAATCGCCCGCCGGAGATTTGTACACCGATCAACCGCGCAAGAGGCAGAATACTTATCAACTGTACATGCGAAGACTTAGAAATTTTGTTCAAATGAAATAATATAATAAAACAAAGCATAGTTCGTAATTTTCCTGTTCCATATTTTTAACTATATGACCTCACAAGTCCCTAACTACGACTTCTTGAGGCCCTGGATGGGATTTTTTGTCTTTGAATATATTCAGAAGAGACCGTATAACGTTTTCTCTCAGTTTAACTGATCCTCTTTCCTTTCATTCCTATACAGTTGTTACTTCTAATTAAATCTAAATATTTGCTACATGATGCATGATATTCCAGAGTCTTACAGGATTCATACAGAAAAACTGTGGGATTAAATGTGTTACAGAAAACACTGGGATAGTAGAGGTGGCCATCCTCCGAATAAAGGGCACAAAAGATGGCGGCCGCAAAAACATCCTAACAGAGCCTCGGTCACGTGTCAATTGCGCACTTACGGCGACTTAATTTGCCGTTTTCCGGCGACTTAATTTGCCGTTTTCCGGCGACTACCGCCACCGCCGGAGTTCCACACGCCGCTAACGCGACGTGGATTGGGACTAAACTAGATGGCTGGGACTTACGAGAAGCAGCTTCCGCATCTCCTGCAGCTTTGCTCATGAGTCCTAGCCATCTAGTTTAGCCCCAATCCACGCCGCGTGAGCGGCGTGAGAGACTGGTGGTGGCGGTAATCGCCGGAAAAAAGCAAATTAAGTCGCCGAAAGTGCGCAATTGACACGTGACTGAGGCCTTGTTTTTGGCCGCCATCTTTTGTGCCCGTTATTCGGAGGATAGCTGTAAAGGTTGATGAAAAATATGGAGATACCAAAACTGAGGACCCCTTTTACGCAAGTGGAGCATCGGGCATATGGTTCTGGAATCCTATTTTATAGACCAATCAACATTCGATAGATAATATGGTCTACATTACTCCGGTGACCTTTAGTTTACCGGAGAGTAATTAGTATCTAAGTCGAATCAAGCTGGTAGCCAATGTTAAATTTAAAGAAATCCGACTGTTTAGAACTCAAGGCCTGCGGGTTAGTAACTGACCACTACAATACTGCGGCTTCCAAGAAAAGCTTAGAGTATATTAATTATGTTAGTAACCACTAAACCAACTGTGAACATCTTTTAACTACAGTGAAAAGGCGAAAAAATGCAATGGTATGGACTTGTATTAAGATCTAATAGCCTCTCAGAAACAATACTGCAGGGCTCAGTAGAGAGAAAAAGCAGAAGATGTAGACCGGGAAAGACCTGGTTACAGAACCTGACTGACTGGATAGGGCTCGTGCATGCAACCATGAAGTCCATCGCAACTGACCGCCAAAGGTGGAGAGAGCTGATCAGTCAGTCAACAGAAACTGGTGACCCAACGACACGTAGTGTTATGGGATGATGATGATGATGATGATGACGATGATGATGATGATGGTGATGATGAACCACTAAACGTACACTAATTTGTTCTGTTTCTTGAAAGTTAGATACCTTTGAATCAGCTCTGTATATTTTATTCATCAGATGCTTGACTACCTTCTCCACCACGGAGCCGATGTCAACGCTAGAGACTCCGACGGCAACACAGCTTTGTTCTATGCTAAACAGTCAAATAAAGACAGCGCCCGTTTGCTCATCAGCTGTGGAGCTATCCAGGATGAAAGCTCGGAAGTCAGCCACCATCAACCACAACAACATCACCAGATTGGTGAGAACACTTGCCGGCTTCTTGGATCCTCCTCAAGTTTACGAAAAGAGCATACACCGTCCCGTTCGTCAAACGATGTATACAACAAAGTACCGCACCCACTGCAAAAAGGTTCTTCTCACAGACGCTCCTTGTTAACAACTTCGGCGATGGCTTCTTCTGGGTCAAAGGGATCTTCATCAAAGTCTCATTTCTTAACTGTCCCACCTGCAAAATTATTCTCCAGCTCGCCGTGTCTACATCAGGGTAGTTCAGCGGGCAGTGGTGCCAGCAGCATCACTAGTTCCACCAGCAGCAGTGATCTGACGTGTAATAGTAATATTACACACTCTAAACATAGTATTAACAACAACAATACGACAGTTACAGATCTCAACAAAGGAGAATTGAAGAGTGGTAGTAGAAGTGTTAATACAAGCACGGAATCGCTGAGGAAACAATTAGATTTTAATATTAGCCAAAATAACAGTGATTAAATACAGGAAACAATATGATAGTGCTGAACTGAACATTCCTTGAGGAAAGTGTACATATAGTGAGTTTCATTTCGATATAGTATCAGAGAAAACTATCATACAAAAGGACTAAGCACCTATAGTCATGTCGGCCAGAAGAGAAAGAAGCAGAACTGTAAATCTCCCTCAATACTAAAAGTGATTAAAGAGGAAGTGAGGAAAAGAAGAAAATGAACATCTGTAAAGAAATTAAATTATAAACGGCTAGAAAACGTGAAATATTTCTTTTAATGCTATCGTAGTTTATTAAATATAACGAAATATGTGACAAGAAAACTAGTGGGGGGGGGGGAGGCATGCAAAAATAAAACCGAACATGTCAACAAAAGTGTCAGCTGAGAATTTAATAAAGCACAAACTTTGACAAGAAAACTAAAAAAGACAAGACAACAGAGCTTTAAGAAAAAGGTCAACATGACACAAATAAGTACGTAACTAGAGGGGAGGGAGTGGAAAAAGGGGGGGGGGGTAGTTTGAATATGAAAGCTGTAATATGAAACGAAATAAATAGGAATGCGTATTTTAAAAAAAAAGGGGGGGGGTTAATAAGTTAAATAAATAAACAAGTTAATAAATAAAAATAAGTAAATCTGTGCTCATTTTCGAACCACCCCCTTTTTCCCAGAATTGAGAACGCTAAAACTGAATGAAATGATTTTCTAAGAGTAGCGGCTGGTTTTATCACTGGAGCAAGATTTAATAGGTGACTGAGATATCACTTTCGCATTGGTGGTCAGACTTGATAAAATAGATGGAGAAAGGTTTAAGGGAATTATTACCAACATCCGCAAAATGTTCACAGAAAAGATCTGCTAGCTTCCTACCGGTTTCAGAATCTCAAGTAAATGGTTCTCTGATTTGAAAAAAAAAAAAAAAACTTCAGGAAACAAACCGAAGGGGTTTGGATCACTAATCACGTGTTTACATCTTGTCCGGGAGCATTTGCAAGTACCGAAAGAAAGTGCTGGACGGATGGGAGGCAGTCTGCTTCTGACAAGTATGTTTTTAAGATTGCGGTCTCGCTTGTAGACCACTCTTGGATTGTCATTGATGATCTTGCAGAAGTCAGGATGAGAGTGAAGAAAGCTAAGGTGACGATGAAAGATTCTACAAACAGGCAAACTATTAGGTGATTTGTAAAGATGATTTAGGTCTCAGGAGCAGGTTTCGGTTTAGTGGGCTATGCCTCTCTCTGGGCGATAAATTGTCCTTTTTTTTAATGCCTGAGAATTTTTAGCTTCAAAGCGGGCACGGAAAAAAAATCTAGAAACGTGCCTTACTCAAGAAATCTGAGTCACTAAAAAAAACTATGTAGTCTAAGCAGTTGAGAGAATGGTATAGAATGTTTGCAAAAGAATAGGTGAGAGGACGTATAGAGAAGTTTGCTATGAGAATATGTAGCTTTAAAATAGGCACATATGGTTAGGAAGTAAATTCAATGCTAACCTTGATGTCCTAGAAATTCCCTGACGTTGTGAAAATCAAGGAGGTGAACTAAATAGCGGCATTAAAGGTGTTGATGAAATTAATGAATTGGTCGAGTTCTCTTCTGAATATTTCGGGATTACCAACGCCATAATTTGTGTACCTCCAGCACCCTTCCGGTAACTTTCTTGTGTATGTAGACAAAAACTGGTGCTCAAGAAAACCCATAACATAGCATGCATAACTGGGACCAGTTTGAGTACCCATCGCGAGATCGCTGATTTGGTCAGAATACTTGCCATTAGAATGTCAGAAAAGTTCTACATTAGATCTGGAGTGAGACGGGATGCGTTTTTTTACCACTACTGTTCACTACTTATGTCGACCAAATTTGCAGATCAGCTAACATCAGCGAAGGGGACAACATCGGATAATTGCTAAATGAATTGCTTTTCGCTGATGGCCAGGCAATCATAGCACCAACAGCAGTACAACTACAAGAACACATTCATAGACTTCACTCAGAATGTGACAACTATAATATGAAGATCATCGTAGACAAAACAGAGGCGATGACATTCTACAGAAAAGGGAAAACCACCGACATCAAAACTGATAAATATCAGTTGAAGTAGGGCAAGGATTTTATATGTTTGGGACACTTTTTTTTCCAGAAGGCGGAAAAATTGATAAAGAAATCGGTTCTTTATTAATATCTTACCCCAGATGAGGCCACAGGACAGTTCAAAATTTTAGAGGGTGGTAAGAGCGGGTTTCCGGGTTTTTTGATGCTTTTAACTACCCCAAAACATCTCAAACTTGTCCTAACCCCAACCCACCTACGTCCCACGAGAGAGTGCAGCCTAGGATCCATGAATGCATGCAGCCTAGGTTCCACGACTGGTTGCTGCCTATCTACCAGCCCCTGAAATATTAGACTGTCCCGTGACCTGTAGATTTCCCATGTTTGGTGTAGGGTGTTGATAAAGCACCAACAAATCTAACAAAGGTTCAATAAAGTAAATAAA